TGACGTGGAGAGAGAAAAAAAATAATTTTTTCATATTATAACTATGTATTATCAATAATACATACTACGTAGTATAAAAAAAATAAAAAAAACACAACTTATACCCTTTAAAAGGACACACACTTAACTCATGTGTGTGTGTTATCTTTCCTCTTGTTGTAGGATGAAAGTTTTGTTTTCGTACAAAGACACCAACACTATGGGTCCAATTATTCAGGAGAGAGAGAATTTTTTTTTTGAAGTTGGCTCCATATTTTTCTGAGTCTGGTAGGAAGACACAACTGTCCTGCAACATAACACTTATATTTTTCTCTCTCTTTATATATATATATATATATGAGGTAGGATCCTTTGACATCTCATTTGAGAGACGTTAGATCAAAAAAGATCAACGACTATGATTTGTAAGCATGTGACACCATTGATCTTTTTTGATCTAATGGCTATCAGATGAGGTGTCAAATTTCAAATTTGACACTGGTGTCAAAGTATCATATATATATATATATATATAGAGGTAGGATCCTTTGACACCGGTGTCAAATTTGAAATTTGACACCTTATCTGACAGCAGTTAGATCAAAACAGATCAACGACTCTGATTTGTAAGCATGTGACACCATTGATCTTTTTTGGTATAATGCTCTCAGTTAAGGTGTCAAATTTTAAATTTGACATCGGTGTCAAAGAATCCTACCTCATATATATATATATATATATATATATATATATATATATATATATATATATATAGGCAAGATCACTCCAGCCTCTAACACCTTTATTCTTTCTAAGAAACAAATCAATAAAACTTCCAGAACCTCCTCTGCTGCACCGAATGTTGAGTCGTTACGTCAGTCCATGGTAGAACTACAACAGCTGTTACATGCAATGGTAGCCCTTGTTTACTAATATTCAAGGTGTTTTCGGGTTTAGTTAGAGTTAAAATCTTCGATAAAATAAATTTTTGGAATTTTTTTTTGAGGTCAGAAAGAATTCGCTTCCCTTTTAAAAGGGGATTAGTTTAACCTTTTCTCTTATAACAGTAATTCAGTACATCATCTGTTTCAACGAGAAGTTAATCTTAGGAGCTGTATTCGAAAAATAAAGTGGCCAAAAAATTATGTGAGAATACTTTCAAATTATTTAAAAAAAAAGCACAAAAAAGAAGAAGGAAAAACACTTGTGTGTTGGGATTCAAATTCCCTGCTGGATCACAAGTGAGGCGCCACCAATTGAAATCAGCAAGTTCAATACTTAAATTTGATTAAAATTGAAACCGTTACTTTAATTTGTAATAACCTGTGTTCGATTCAGCTCACAGGATTGGTATTTGGTGGAAAGTATGAATATATATAGAATAGACTTCATACAAAAAAAAAATATAGAATAGACTTATACTTTGCCTAAATAAGTTAGGTTTTGAGTTTAACGCGATCTAATTTTTTAGCACATTTAAATTTAGGGGATGGTTATATTGTCTATTTATTTAATATTTTTATCTTTATTACTTTTATTATTATCATTAGATTAAATTTAAATTAAATTTAAATCAATGATATCAAATAAAATAAATTTTTTGATTTTGTTTCTCTTTCCCTTATTTTTCTCAACTAATTACGTATTATGTTTCTTTCTATTTCAACGGTTGATTTAACTATGATCTAACGATGACAAAAAGATAATAAGATTAAATAGGTAGACAATATAATCAAACTATAATATTTTATTATTTATATAATTATTTTATTTTAAATAAACGTATAATATAGGCCAACTTATAAATTTACAGATTAAACCTTTTAAAAGTAGGCATATGACTTATTTTTTAAATAGATTTTTATTAAGTTAAAACTTATTTTATTTTAGTAAATATATAGATTATATTAGGCCTAACATAGCTCAAGTCATAGGTCCCTAATGAGCCACATGGTTTATTTATCTCCTTAGTATAAAGTATTACATAGGAATGGACTAACCGAGGAATATATAAGTGTAATGATCCATAAATTCTTTGTCTTAAAATTTTTGATTGAGATTTCATGTCAAATTCATTCATTATGGTTAATTTTTTGTGTATGTCTTGAACTTATTCTTTATTTTTTATTTTATTTACACAATTTACATGCAAGTACGAAATTATGTATATAAATTTAAATCTAAAGTGTAAACAAATATAAATAAATAATAAATAAAATCAATTCATGTGATTATTAAATTTCAAATTTAACATACATTATAATATTATGAACATTTTTATGTTTATTTATTTTTCACTTAATATTTTCTCTATCAAAATATTTTTTTAGAATATATTATTAATTTTTAAGATGAAAGTAACTAATTCAAACATAATATGTAAAAGTGAGGTAAAATAACTTGTGAAATTCTATTCTTAAACGGGAAATAAAACTTTCCGACTCTAATTTTTTTAATCCATTTTTTTTCTTTTATCATAACTTTAATAGAATCCGGTTATAAACTCGAAAGAACAAAATTTCCAATTATAATTCTCCTGTTTCTTCCCGGCATTTGAACCTGGACTATCAATTATCATGGAATTGTTATTCAACAATTACCGTATAGATCAGGGATGCAAGTTCCAAGTATAATTCTTGTTATTTATGGACATGTTAACAAATTTTATTTCCTACACGTATAAAAATGTATGGGATTAATGTGAAGAGAACTGTAAAGAATCTTGAGATACACCACCAAAAGCTAGCTCAATGTGAGATTATATATCTCAACAAGAAGAGAGAAAGAGAAAATATGAATCCTATATATTTTTATGTATGTACAGGAAATAAAATTATCTCCTAGAATATAAGATATATGAAAGCCATGTTAATTCTCAAAAGAGAAAGAAAAAAATGGAAAGAAGTTAACCAAGACGCAAGGCAATGACTATTTACTAAATGACAAATGAGACATTCATTTGACACAGAATTTCAATTTAGAGAATATTACTATGCATCCTTCCATCTCCAGTAGTGATATCAGCATCAACTAATGGTCATATGAGGTAAAACTTTCCCTCAAATGGTGTACCAATTTCCTCCCTGCTCTACTGGCTAGAGAGAGAGAGAGAGACGTGGAGAATAAGACTTGTTAGACATGGTTGAAGAATTTGAAATTGCACGTCAAAATGGAAAACCCAAACATAAAAACAAATGCTTGGGCAGGGTGGTGACGATAACACAGCCAAAAACTGCCTCTACTTTTGTCTGTTTCCGTGATTGAACAAGGCTTTTCTTCAAGAGTACAACGCGTTTACGACAAGGAGGAGAACTAAACTGATGCAACGAATATGAACTTTATCACAATATATTATATAATAGGGAAATATTAATCGCATATGTGAAGTGAGATCAGTGGCGGACTCAGGAAAATTGTTTTATGTCCGCACATTTAACGACGGAGGTTCGGAGGCAACGTCGCCGAATTTTTTTTATAAAGAAAGTTTAAATTAACGCTCGAACACGCTCATAATCTAGTTGCTTTCATAACAAAGGATGAAGAAATCATCGGAATGGGTACGTGACAAAGGAGAGGAAGAATAAATTTTCTCTCTAATCAATTTACGTTGCTACGTTATTTTAATCATCTGCGTACGTTGCTAACTAATATAAGAATAAATATCTTTTTTGATCCCTAACAAAAAATTCGATTCCCACTTTAGTTCATTATAAAAAAAATAGTCACCTAGTCCCTATGAAATTTAAAGTGGAGATCTATTTTAGTCTTTTTGAGGGACTAATGTAGGTCTTTTTTGAATTTGTGAGGAACCACAATTTTAACTAAATTGATCCACTTTGAATTTCTTAGGGACCTCCTCGAGACTAATTTTTGGTAAGGGACTACAGTAGGGACCTTTTTTTGTTAGGGACTTAAAAGATATTTACTCTTAATATAAATATTGAACGAAGAGATAAATAAAGATCTACATGGCTACAAAAAAAAAAACTAAAATTCAAAATTTCATGTCCGCACTTGCGGACATATGCGCTCACCTGTGTCCCCACTGCATGAGACAACAACTCTCTCCTACACACTCAAAAAGATATGGGTCCCACTTTAATTTTTTCCCTTCTTTTCCAGTGAAATGGGACCCACATAAAATTGTGAGTGCAACATGAGATAAATATCTCCTGTTGCATAAGAAAATATAATCCCTATATAATAAGGGTTTTACTAATCTCATTTAACATAAGATAATTATCTTATGTTGTAGAGAGAAAATTGATGGGTCCACCATTACAAGAAAAAAGAAAAAAGTGAAATACAAAAATCGAAATGAAAAAAAATAAAAGATGATATCTTATGTAAAAGTAGTTACTAATATTTTCCGTATAATAATGGTTGCAAATAGCTTTTTGAGTTGGAACTTCTCGGTTCTCTTCTCGCCTTTTCTTAGCCAAAGCATTTTAAAAGTAAGTACAATGCTAGCTTCTCTGCCCTTGAATTGAAAAAGCAGCTTCTTCTCTTTGCCAGGTGTAGTCATTATTAATAGAAAGCAAAAGAATAAGAAGGAAGAAGTTGGTGAAACAGCACTTGGGTCCCGGGGTTGGCAAGAATGCACTGTAGGAAAAAGACCTTGGAAGCTTTATAAATTGGAATAAATAAGAATTATGTTACATGAAAAAAATTGACATCATACGATCACTATCGACAACACAAAGTCTTTGAATTCAATGCATTTTTCACTTTCTTTATTATCATCAAGTTTGTCGTTTTCTTTGTAGGAAAAAAAAAATATTTATGTAACAGGACAAAAGCAAAACCTTATAAATTTGATAATAAAAAACCGATGTTCAAGCTTCGTGTGGATTGTAGGATCAATAATCACAATTCAGCATATGCTTGAGCAAAAATTAATCCGGAGCCAATATTTCTATAAATTTCGACTCTTCAAATTAACTATAAAATTAATTTGAAGTATAAGATGAATCAAAGATGAAGAAGATATTTAAATTTTTTCCAAAGGTGATATATAAAAATCGAACCAAGACCTTTTCTTTTTCACTTATTCAGCTCTTTTGCTACCAACTAAACTACCACCGTTTGGTTGAGCAAAAAACTCATTATATGCGAATAAGTATACAAGACCTCTCTATCAAATGCATCACCATACAAAAATAAACACGACTTGTTAACTTATCATTGGCAACAGGAGCTGTATGTACTTAAATTCCAAGGATTCTTTCAAGACTTCCTCTATAATCATAACATACGTCCATAAGGTCAAAAGGGGGGGCGGGGGGGGATCAATGGGGCTTTTCACTGTACGTAAAGAAATCCAACTTAAAATCATTTAGTCAGTATGGGTCAAGCAAGCATATTGCTGCCATCAGAGTCTTCCCTCTCCAGGCTATTGCGTTTGCACCAACACGAGTACTCAGCAATTGGCCCATCATTCCCAATAAACCAGACATGCTCCGCAACATCGTCCAATGTCATCCTTAGTCTTGGGTCTGCAGAACACAAAATGCAATTGAGAACCATAAAATGAAGAGCAGGACATGCAAAATAACAAGGAATATTTAGTTATGTGACAATGTCCCTTTTAACAGGAACTGACAGAAAGGTTGGATGTCATGTACCTTTGCAAAGTAGTCCTTCTATTAAGTTCTTTAACTGCGGGTCAATGTCATCTGGGAGTTCTAGAGGATTATTGACTATCTGGATAAGCAAAAAAACAGTATGCTCAGATTTCTGTTGTATACGCTGAAAACATGCAACAAAGTCTGTTTAATACAAGAGGGCAAGAAATTAATATATTTCTTACTCGGTCATAGGTATCTTGAAGTGTGTCTCCGAGAAATGGGTATTCACCCAAGATCATACAGTACAAAGTAACTCCTACTGCCCATGTGTCTGAAGCTTTACCGTGATAAGTAAGGCCTGAATAATATCAGCAAGCAAAACTTCAGTGATAATATGTACTTTAATAGATTCCTAAGAGCAAAGTATCTTACAAGCTTGAAAACAAAACTGCAACCTAAACAACATTCTGGTGCAGTGAAAACAGGAGTTCCAGGTGATCGCCGAAGTTCATCATTACCATCCTGCAAAATGAAACCAAGTATAGGTTCCATGTTAGTTGCTAGATAGATCCTATTAGCCATGTAAAGTCACCAATATATCTAAGGAAGAAGCGTGGAAGCGGTGCGTGAATGTGCATGGGGATATAGAAAACATTAAATAAATCAAAATATTCTAAATGATTGATTACTCATTTCGAGGAAAAATCACAACTTCCTAGGTCCTGACCCCCACCCTAAGATTAGCAAAATTCTTTTATTACAACTTCTTACGTCATTGATAGAAGGAAGATTAGGCATCAAAAGTATTACTATGGACCTGCCAAAATCACACATTTATTTGCAAAAACTAGGGAAGAAGGGAAGAGAGAGAGGGGTTTAGAAACAATCAAGATGTGGGTGGTCAGGGTGGCCTAACCAGAAGATTTCCCTCTGCCATTGGATATTTGGAGGGATAATATGGATAAGATCCCATGTTAGCATTTTGGATGACTTTCAAGTTTCAAGTATTGACAGAGTGCATTCATCAGCATTCATATCTTTCAACTAATCATATTTCAATTTTCACACAGAAAAAAATTTATGTTGGTCCCATGTTGTACATTTCAATTTTCACACATAATATAATGTCAGACACTCAGCGTAAACTCATCAGCTTCCATATCTTTCAAGTATCATTGAGTTCAGTAATTAAATTACCTCAAAAGCCTGGCTGACACTGAAATCTCCTATCTTCACTGTGCCATGACGAGTAATCAACAGATTATCAGGCTTTATATCCCCATGCACTATATTCTGCTTTTCAAACAAACCAATAAAGAATCACCATAGTAACATAGTGAAACTATTCCACAGCATTTATCATGAACGAGCCTAATCATCTACAATAAATAATATGTCCGTTAAGAAGTTTATTAGCATGCATACCTAATATCATGTATTTCCATTGCTATGCAAAAGAAGTACTTGCAGACAACTTTAGACTTAAACTTTAATGTTAAATGTTTCACACAGACAAACAAAAAACTAGTTTTAAGAGCATGAAGGATAATGTGCATCAACCTATAAGCTATCCAACTAAATTGCAATAGCGTCTACTTTTGTTATTCAATTTATAAAAATGTAAAATACATAACTAAAACAACTAGACTAAGAAAACTAAAGGCATAAGATGGAAGGGGAGTGAGTGTGTGTGTGAGAGAGAGAACTTTGAGTCAACATTAAGCACAAAAAGATTGATCGAGAGATAATACATGAGCATGAAGATATGCTAATCCCGAGACTATATCACGCAAGTATTTCCTAGCAGTTTCTTCACCTAAAGCACAAGGACGACCAGAACCCTCACAAACCCATTTGCCTTCCACATATTCAAGTACTGTACAAGAAAAGATTAGCGGTTAAGCATAAGATTTAAAAAAGATTCTTATTCAAACTTGAGGCTCAAATACAGATTTAAAAATTTCAGGAGAAGCAGTCAATCACTTAATAACAAAGTCAAGAAGAAACTAGTGATGAGTACCCATGTATAAATCATCCGACTCTGGGTCATCAATCACCTCAATGAGATTGACTATATTAGGATGTTCTATCATTTTCATAATAAGTACCTGAAAATAAAGTACGTGTGTTTTAAACTACTGCAGGAACAGTAAAGAATATCTAAAATAATTGAGTTAACAATTGTAATAAATCATAAAATGCACAAACTAGGAAGTAAAATAAAACACAAAATCTTGTCAAAAGAAAAATTGTTAAAATGGAATGTAAAACATTGGCAAGGGCAAACCCTGGTGCACAAAGCTCCCCGACTTTGTGTGGGTAGGGGTGAGGTTCAATTGTATGCAGCTTTACCCTTGTATTTTTACAAATAGGCTATTTCCCAGACTCGAACTCATGACCTTTTTGTCACAAAGGAACAACCTTGCTGCTACTCCAAGGCTCGCCAGCAATGTAAAACATTGGCAAAAGAAAAAGATATTTCTATTTTCTAACACTGACCTATATGCTAACTACTGTATAAAAAGAATCACAGATGACAATAGATTCCATAAGAACAGTAAGAGACATCTAGGAACAGCAAATTAAGTAATATTTACACATACTGTCAGTGGATATAAACTGCCAAATGAAGCAGTAGCCGCTAGGTAATAAGCAAAGCAATGACCAAATTTGATGTATTCCCGTGAGAATAACATTTATAGCATACGTTATGGTTGAAGATATTAAAAAGAAGAAACCAATGCCCTGACCATGGAATGAGGTAACCTCCCCCCCCCCCTTTCCGACCCAAAAGATTAAAAATAAGATAAAATGAAACAGTAAAAAGAAATATACCTCACGTAAAACATCAGTCATGGCAGTTTCAGATGGTGCGACTCGAAGCTTCAGTAAATGAGACTTATGAAAGGCCTGTGGTTCAAAAGATTTAAACTCAATAAATCACAAGCTGTACCCTTATATTGTCTTTAGTAACATTGTACACATGCATGTGGCAGTGAGCCTTTGATTGGTTCATATGTATTTATTAAGTCTCCTAATAAAATAGAATCTGCAATTTATCAGTCATAATAGCTAGTCCAACTATCTATCTATGTGACACTACCCTATTATCAGGAACAGTGACAAATGTGCTGTTACAAAAGCCCTGCTATCAAGAAGCGATCTGCCTGCCTGCTGTTACAAAGGTGTCCTACCTTAAGTGCATAATGCTTTCCATCAACAGAACTTCGATAAAGAGCCTGCAATGCATATTAGGAAGGGGCTCAGGAAAGCGTACTCATTGAGAACAGGGAGAGCATAATTCCACAAACGCTACACTTACCACTTTGCCATAGCTTCCAGAACCAATCTTATACTCTCGAACGTACTCATTTATCATCTTGCACCCATTTTCATCCTGAAATGATGAAAAAAATTTAAATAAAGGTTCTCACAGAAAAGATATCCGATATAATAGAGAAGTTTTGCTTAAATACAAATAACCATTTAGATAGGTTTAGACACGCATTGAACTTAATGCAATTAAACACCAAGACTAGCATACATGATATACACACTGGAAATTTATGATTACAGGTGGAGAAACATAGAAGAAAGCAGCAACTAAGAATAAAGCAATCACCCCAATACATTTCAAAGTTCTGCCTTAACTTGATTAAGTCACCAAAAATGGTAAAAATAGTGTCTAAGAACTAAAACCAAATTTGACATGTAGCACTCCATCAAAATTAAGAGTTATTTTATAATTGTATTAGAAAAATTTCACAAAATTCTGTTAAGGTTCTGAAAATCATGAAGTAATAAAAATACAATGAGTGCAGTTTTCACCAATAATTAACTCATGATCATTCGCATATCAAAAATTAGCCAACCTAGTCTTGATGTTTAACTATACATTGAAAGTAACTTTACAGCAAACACAAAAAAGCTACTCCCACAGTTACCTCTGAGCGAACAAGTTTGTGAGTCTCCTTAACAGGAAACCGCCTACAAACCATGCCATTCTGTGCTCTAAAGTTCAAAATATCCTCCGAACGATTGGGAAGAGTAGTTTGCAGCTCACTATCATCTCCACTGGTGGCGTTACTAGTAACATCGCCACTGTAGGAGAACTCATCACCATCAGTTTCTCCATCTGACAATAGCTGGCGGGAGAGAAAATTGTTGATGCCACGCTTAGCCCGGTGACGTCTGGGTTTTTTGATGAAACCGAAGCAACTACAGCAGCCCATCATTTTGGCAAATGAAAAACTCCTATAATCTTCCATCACAGCATCAATCTGACTCACGTATTTTGGCCCAAATCAAATATCCTAATAACTAAGTTCTCGGATGACCCTGTAAATAGTTTTCACAGCAAGAAGCTTATCAGAAGGGTGAAAGCCAAATTGGATTACCAGAATCGCATGGATAAAGCACAAAATAAGAGTGTACTTTCTACTTAACATGAAGATGCTTACCTGGTATATATGAGAGGAAGGGAAGGGCTTCAAGCCCTGGTTAACATTGCTATTCTAAGGGATGCCATTCAGCTAGGTGGAGAAAACCGCTCGAGAAATTAAACCCACTACGATTCACACCCAACATTGTGATAACTCCAGTTTATAACAATGGTTACAGGCTCAGCCCACAATTCACCAACAACAATTCGTTGACCTTTTGCATGATGAGCAACATGGAAAAACAAAAAATAAAAAAAATAAAAGAAAAAAAAGCCACCCATTAATAAAATAACATTAAATATTGGGAGTAAAGAAAAAAAGAGACAAAATTTCGAATAGAACAGAAGCTTCAGACGCAATCAAAGAGACACGTCAATGACAGAAGCTATTATATTATAATAAAAGGTTCAGCGATTCACCTCTTTTTTAATTTTCTGGGGGGGAAATACCAAAATTGAAGAACCCTATCTCTGCAGCTCCAAAAGCCTTAAATTCCAGCACGAACGGACGGCCTTTGGAGTAAAATTCGGAACCCTAACTCCAAAATTCAATCGAGAAAGCTGAAATTCCCTCTCGAAGGAAGCGAAAATCCTATTGCAATTGCGAATGAGGAGGAGAAAGCGATAGAAGGAGGAATCTAAATGCAGAAAAAACCCTAAGTGGAAGACATCAATCGGGTAGAAGAGAGAGGAGGATGGAAAGTTGGGGGTGTAACTGAAGAAAAAAATATGGTTAAATGAGCGAAATGTGAAATTAAAGAGGGGCAGCATAGCAATTTAAAATTTCGATTCTATATTAGTTCAGTTTTAGGAGAAAAATAGAAATCCAACAGCGGGATAACAGGTTGGCCACGTTGGGATCACTCATCACCATACTATATAAATACAGTTATAACTGTTTTTAGTGGGGTTAATAAGCAATTTACAATATCATGTTTTAGTTGAAATTGATCATAATAAAAAATATTTACAGTTGGCTAAGGGTTTGGTCCATACCCTTCAAGGACGTGGGTTCAAACTTCGCTGGCTGATGTGAAGACTTTGTTGGTGAGTGACATATAATTCTTCCGAGGTTTTCCCTGACCTAGTGGGATACCGGTATCTAACTCCACTTAAACTTTTTTATATACAAAAAAAAATATTTATATCTAATAATACTAAAGTTCGGTACAAATGAATGTGATCAGATTTAGTTAAATATATGAATCTATTCTCCTCCCAGTCTTAAAAAATACGTCATTTAGCAATTGTTATGCATTAGTCATAAACAAAACTTCTAAATTTGTTAAAGCGGTGATGTCTCAAAAGTTGACCATTTGGAGAAGGTTTCTCTTTTTCCTTGTTCCGTTTTTTCAACTACTTGCTAAGTACTGATATCATCAATCTTTTGAACAAATTGATTTTTCTTTTAATATTCCAATCGATTTATCGTTTCGCGACTAGTTCAATTTGAGACGGATTCTAGGATTAAGAATTTAAACCCCTACTAAAGATGATATTGAAAAAAATCGAACACATGCTCTTACCACACTCAATTCTATGGCGTAACTGAGCTAACATCATTTGATTCATTTGAACAAATTGTTGATAAGCTTCTATTTTGGTTTGTGCTTTGTATCATATTCGTAACCAAGACAAATAAGGGCCTACTATAATGTTTCCCACGATACTCTTTTTCTTAAATCTTATAGTGGTCACATGTACTAATTAAAGTTTTTTTTTTTTTTGAACTTCCATAACTTGCACTTATTCCTCAATAATGGAAGGTTCAATTTGTCAGAAAAGGCCCACAATTTCTTGATGACAATAGAACGCATCAAGGATTGAAACCACGACTCCTGATTGCTTTGCTATTAGTTAGAACTTAGAAGCGTTGGGTTGAATCCTATTGATTAAACTTAATGTATTGTATTTTAAATAATTCATACACCCTTTTTCAATACAATAAAAACTTCCCATATAATTACGTCAATACAACTTTTCTCATGAGGAGGAAAAGTCCAAAGTTTCAGCTTGCCTTGCAGGTTTGGAACCATCAAGTAAAATAAACGTATCTTGCATCAGCCCAAGACTTTTCTTTCTTTACTTGCAAGTGGGTCTAAAATTTTTTTTTATAGTAAACGATCAATTCAACTTAAAAGTGAAGTTTATATCTTTCTAAGGAACAGTGGCGCCAAAGTGCCACTGTTGGAAAAAAAAAACACTAAAATACCACGCCAACAGTAAATTTTGTCAAAATGTCACGTGGCATATTTCGCTATACTGTGTAGTGAAATATGTGTGCAAATAATTTGCTACACGATATAGCAAAATATGCCGCGTCAGAATGCACAGAACCAAAAATGTCACGTGTCAGACAGGGAGAATTTCGCTACACTGTATAGCGAAATTCTCCCTGTTTGACACGTGACATTTTTTGTTCTGACGTGGCATATTTCACTACACCGTATAGCGAAATATTACAGTATAGTGAAATATACCACGTGACATTTTGATAAAATTTACTGTTGGCTTGACATTTTGGTGTTTTTTTTTTTGCCAACAGTGCCACTGTCCCTCTTTCTAACATACTCTGAGTCTTTTAAACTTAAAACATGGATGTCCCTCTTTCTAACATACTCTGAGTCTTTTAAACTTAAAACATGGATATTACATATGTTCATTTTATTTTGTTCTACTTTATGTTGACTTAATTTCATTAAAAAGAGGAGGTGGTGAAGCAATCGTTTCAACTCAAGAGTTTAAGCTTGTAACTGAAAGATCGATCAATATTTTTATATTAGATCTCTTTTAACATTTATTTTTTGAAATAGTTTTCCTTTCTAGCGTACAATTTCACTTTGGCATAGCACGAAGGGTCTTGAACCAACAAGAGTTTCTGTCTATGCACAAGTAGCTTCAACAGCTAAACTCTTTGTCACTCCTCTACAAGGGTCTCCGAATGTATCAACTGATACTCCAAAACTACAACTGCTTGAACCAATGCAGGCCTGTTAAAGATCATTTGAGTCAGTCCAAAAACCAAAGTGAAATATACCAAAGTAAATAGGGAAAGAGGAAGCTACATAACACCTTCTGAACAATGGACATAGCCTTATTGCTGCTGCAGCGTCCATGGTATAAGTTCCCACAGGTCCCAAGGGGTGTTCCATAGCTTGCAAATTTAATGGAAGAGATTACTTGATTCTGATAAGTGCACTTGAGTGACAGTACAGGCCCTACTTTTCTTCTTGATTCTGTATCTGAGTTCCACAAGTCTACTGATGGCGGGTGAGATTCAGATACATGTGCACACAAACTTTCTATCTGTTTTGTTGCAAAAGATATTTGTGTTGGATCTCCTCCACTTTCCTCAAACAATACAAGAGTATTGCCATTTGGTTTCAACCATGATCGTGGTACATGGTATCTGCAGGATAAGAGTGTCTCGGTGACATTAGAAATTCAATATTATTTTCATTTTTCAACTTTTGTCATTTAGAATATCCAATACTTACAATGTCTGCGATGGTTTTCCACAATTCTTGCGACATTTGGATGAATTATAAGGTCCTCTATAATTGCATGAGTCCGTGCAACCAGCATTTGAAGAGACATATGTAGGCCAGTATCTCCCAATGCTTTGTCCATTCACCCAAGCCTCACCTTTTCCCATCCCCGTGAAGTCAATTGCAACTGGATTACTTCCGGATGGAGCAACAAAGGTTGTCTAATCCAACATATACTACATTAGTTAGTGGTTAAAATACTTTTCCTATAGTAGCATTCCCTTAAATTTTAATTGCAGTTTTCCATTGCAAGTTGAAGTTAACAGCTGTAGACACTGCTGAGCAAAAACTATATAGAAGAATTGGAGTCATAGAAAAATGGGCCATGAATCAGGGAAGCGTTTAGTTGTCTGTTAAGCATGGGAAATGTATAATTCCAAATTCCCTAACGTATAAGTAGTGAAACAAGAAAACGAATATAAGATTACCTTGTACCAAGTCAGTGGTTGGTTCTTAGGGAAGGTAGATTGTGAATTCCACTTTCCAGAACTTCCACTAGACAGACCTAATTCATCACCTTTGAGGCCAACCTGTATCAAGAATATTAAGAGTGCATTCTATGACTTTAACCAAAAAGGAAAAATGGAATCCATATGACTTCAGTTCCATCTCTCCAGGCTCTTGGAATAAATAATTACACTTGGTTTTTCTTGCATATAAATTGATTTGATCTACAAAATTCACAGGTGGGAAACCAAAAAACCAATGTTGTTACAAAGTAAACTTGGATAGATTTTACTATTTCCTGAGACAAGGGAGTTAGACATAAATCTCTGCTAAAAGACCGGTTAAGCGATAGTTTCAAGCACAAGCCTTCCAAAGAGTTTAATTTGAGAATATTTAAAAGTAATAAGTTGAGAATAATCTCGCGAAGTAAGAGGCTCATCTAGGTCTTCAGCCTTTCATTTTGCATGAATCTCACTCATGTTTATTTGAAGTCAAAGAAAGGAGAAAGAAATGAATAGGCTTCAACCAAAAGCTAAGACTGACCTGATATGTCCACTTCTTGGAGGAGAGATCAAGAGTGTTGCCATTCTTCAAACCTTTCATTATCACTGGACCAGTGATCCCCGCTCCCCATGATTCAAGAAAAGCTCCATAGTTCTGATGTGTTAAGGTTCACGTTAGCTGATGTAGTAATGAGAAATCACAAGCCAAATCATGTGGGATGGAATGTAACAAGCCAATGTACAAATTGCATACTAAAAATCATAATTTTCTATCTTGTAAATGCTTATATACATTATAATCAGAAAAGATGAACCTGAAGTCCCACGGTTAAACTCAGCAGATCAATTGTGTTCTTTCCAGCCACTAGAGTGACGGGGATGTCCACATTGAGCTTAGATTTGTCACTGTTGCCTGCTTGACTCCCTGACAAATTTTCAATAGTATCACGGATAATTACTATTAAACAATTCAAGAAAAACTAAAGTGAAAGAATGAACTCTGAACATTTTAGGAAGGAACACCCATCAGCAACTGATCTTACATTCTTATTTGATTTCAAATCAACCTTGATTTGATTTTCCCTACATCTATAAAGGGACCAAGGTCTCACTTCATTTGGCAGCATTTTAAAGAGGTGTGTAAAGAAGATGTGAGGGGAAGAACTTAGTGTCTCCTCTTCTATACATTTAATTCAACTGCTTATGATAAAATAGGCGAGTACTAAGTGTTCAATGTAATTTGATTTTGAAATAGGAAATATACATTAGAATGTTTAAGGTCATATAATTGGGTGAAAATTGAAGTCTTGTATTTTGTTCTGTAGCCATGAATTTTAATTATGTTTTCAGGTTTCTGATCTATGGCCAGACCTAGCAGGAAGATAGAGACGCCAAACACCTTTGTTATTACACTTGTAACTAATAATGTTTGCCCACCAGAGCTCAGAGCTGCTTAAGGGTGCAAACCCCGTTTAGAGATACCACAATGCAACTCAAAACTCCTCCTTAAAACTTGCCTCATTAAAATCTAAGCAAGAGTAGACCAGGGTTACTTTGCACCTCTCTAAAAGTATCACTTCATTTGGCAGCATTTTAAAGAGGTGTGTAAAGAAGATGGGTGGGGAAGAACTCTTATATTTTTTGCCTAGGTACCAAGGTCTACATGACCAGCAATCAAAGAGAAATCTCAAAATATATAGGGACAACCAAAATATATTAATCATAAAAACCTAAATGAATGTTTAGGAAGAACATGTGCAGATGCAGGGTTATCCATACATATCATCAGTTTTCATAGCTTTAATTTTTATTTACCTGCAAGCTTCCCATTGATGAAAGCATGAAGGGCGTGACCAAGTGATTCAATGTGAAGGACAGTTTTTGCACCAGCATCATCTTTGAGATCAATGCTTTAAAAAAAAAAGGAAAATGTTATCAACAAGCAGATAATTATAGGTCAGAGGAAATACTTTTCAAAGTTGGAGGCCTATATACCTCGATGAGTACCACAAGTAGTCACTTCTATCAGCTGTTGTATTTATTTGCTCCAGTAATCCAGTTTTTGAGAATGAATCAGCCTTTGAAATACCCACTGGTTCACTTACCCAACTCCATCTTGAACTAGAAGCTTCTAAAGAACCAATATCATTTTTTGAAGATTCAGTTGTAAAGCTTGAGATCGCAGATGCAGAATTAATCTGTCGCAAAAAATGTTATTTTTCCTACATGCTACTTGCTTTTTGGACTAGCAAATAACAGAAAAGATCTTGACTACAGATAGATTAATCACAAAATGAATATTAACTACACTTTTCAAAGTAACTCCAGTCATTGAACTATCTATATTGATTGGGAAATATAGAGAACCAATTCAACCCAAAAGCTTAAGCTGTTGGGTGAGGCTACATTAATGGTTTTATATATCTCAATACGCCTCCTCACACGAGAGCCCACTAGGCTTGAAGAGTGGACAATACACGAGCCCACCTACCTGTGCGAAGAAAGAAATTCCACTAGAAAAAAAGTGGGGGCGATGAGAATCAAACCCGGGACATGAGGCTCTGATACCATGTAAAGAAATAATTCAACCCAAAAGCTTAAGCTGTTGGGTGAGGCTACATTAATAGTTTTATATATCTTAACAGGAAATTCAACCAACATCACATTTATTTTTAGAATCATCCATTAGTGAAGCCATATAAACATGAAAATGAAGTTGATGAGGCAAACCTTAGCAGTATTAAGCACTACATTCTTGCAGTCTGGTAAGATGCTCACAGACCATGCAGGCAAGTGATATGAATTGCCACTGAAATTTACAGTTACATCTGATGTGGTGCCCACGTTGGCAAGGAAGGCAGCACATACAGCTCCTGTCTTGTAAACTGCAGCCTGGGGTTTAAATAGTAAAAGACATACATATTGGAGAGACTAGTTGTTCATAAAGCATATAAAACAAATGGAAATGCAGGAAGAAAGACAGGCATCAGCATACAGTAGCATTTTGCTGCAATCAGGAAAATGCAACACTCAGGAACTTGTGAAGGAGGAGGTAACCAGAGAAACCTATGACGGTAATTATAGCAAAATTCCACTCTATGAAGGGCATTTCCAAGGAAAGAAACATACAAATTGACAAACTAGGAGAATTTTAGGCCCAGAGTAAGGTTATCCAGAAATTATATCCTAATAGGCTAATACATGGAGTAAGATGTTTAAAATAGACCAAAATTTTTAATACAAACCACTTATACCTCTAGGTTTGGACCAAGAGATTTAATTGTTGGATCAGTAGCTACCAATGCTTCTTCACAAAGCTTTATGGCCTTATGCACATCTTTAAGGTGACCCCACTTAGGCTGTCTAATAATTCCTGCAGTACACAGTAAAGATGTTTTTCAAAACCAAACAAAATTGTCCAGTGTAATTTTTGTCTTCTGAAATAAACTGTACACACAATTCTGTTATTCTTTTTTTGGTACAAGCAATACTGTTTATTTATCCTCTTGAATGCATATGGAAGCTAGGCAGCATTCAACTAACAATTGGTAGCACATTTGAAATGTTTACAACGTCAAGTCAACAACAGATATGCAACATGAAGATTGAAAGAGTGCATACCATACTCATCAATTGGTGCATCATAATCATAACTTGTAGCAATGAAAGGTCCTCCAGAAGTTCGGCCAAAGTTGGTCCCTCCATGGTACTGTTTCGGAGCAAGTAATTAAAATAGTTGTGATATCAGCTCATTTCCTCTTAGGGATGATTTTTTTTTTTTCTTGAACTATCATATAAATTAGAGGGTGTGTCTTGGAGCAGTGGTAAGGTTGCTCACGAGTTCGAGTACGGAAAACAGTATCTTTGAAAAAATGCACAAGGATAAGCCTTGTGCATTGGGATTTGCCCCCTTTTTTTTGAACTATCACATAAATTGAACTTAAACCGCATTTAAGTCTGCGTTACCATATAGTAATTTTGAAATGTTCCACCTCGCTGGAAAAAACGTGCCACAGCAAATGCAAGATCTTCCACAGGTCTGTGAGGAGCAGGACCACCAAATGAAAGAAACCTACCATTCCATAGAATTCAAAAGATTGAAAGATAATAAACAAAAGGTTTAAGGAGAAAGGATATACACAACGGATGAGATCACATTTGGGGGGATATATTTCATCCAAATAATTAAATGATTTATTATAAAGGACGCTAACCATCCACTCCAATTCTCAGTCCACATTTTTGGTTTTGTGTTTGAGTTTGGTGTGAATTGATCGCAGTAAAATCCATTGCAAGTATTAATCTGCGAGTGGTTAAAGTAACAATCAAATAAGATGAATATAGACAGCATACTACAATTCCTCTTTTCAGGAAGACAGACAATCTAGTAAAACATTAAACAGCAAAAACACTTGATGTTGACATATAAACGGGGAAAACTTACAATTGGATCAGGAGCATCTGCCTGCTGACACATGACCCAGGGAACCCCAGTTTCAAGAGATGTAGCCATTGTTGCTGCCCACTTGATGTAGGATTTACCAGCACCACCATAGTGTACATCAATGTTTCCATACTCATTTTCAATCTGGCATTACAAATTACAAATATTCTCATATTAACAAATATAAGCTTTAACCCAAAAAAGAGAAACAACTACAAGAACAGGCTATAAAGATTATCTATAGAATACTATACACACAAAATTGATAGTGTATCTAATAAAAGAACATGTATTTAATAAATTTAAAAAAAAAAAAAAAAAAAAACCTGAGATAAAATAACAGGTCCACCCTGTGAGGCATAGAGTTTCTCTTGCTTTATCATATCCACAATCTTAGCAGTGAATCTTTTCATTTCTGCCTGAAGACAAAGTTTTTAGGCGAGTGAACTCAGATTCAAGGACAATAGCATGAAGCAGCAATATGAGTGTTACCTTGAACGGTTCATTGTCAGTTCTGAACTTAATTCCAGGAATGAAGTGTAGCCAAAGAGGGAAACCACTGTTGAGAAGTTAAAGCCCTCGATTAGACATGAAAAACTCTGGAAAAGAATACAGGGAAAGAACAAAACTTTACCCATAGTTCCATTCAGCACACACGTATGGACCAATCCGGAGATGCACGTAGAGACCCGCTGCAGCTACTGTCTTTACAAATTTCACCAAATCGTTCCTTCCTTCAAAATTATACTGCAAATTCCCATTACCAATTATGGTCTTTCTGAGGTTAATCTATGTCTTTTTATTCATGCTTTCAACTATCATGGGAAATACAAGTAGCAATTCAGCTTAGTAGCATGAGCACTTGTTCTTTTTTCTACTTCTAATTAAAGCTACAATATTTTCTTTCACATATGCAATGCAATGCTGAATGCCAGAGGAATATGAAAAATGGTAACAGATAAAAGAGAACCTGGCCTCGAACTGGTTCGTGTAAGTTCCAGAAAACATAGGTCTCAATCACATCCAGTCCTCCATCTTTGGATTTCTGAATAAGGTCTGGCCACATCTAAAACAACAAATTCTACACTGTTTAAGTTCAAAAAACAAACACACACACGTATATATATATATAAATATATATAGAGAGAGAGAGAGAGACCTGTGGAGTACTACGAGGATAATGAATAGAACCAGAGATCAAGACCCTGCGCTTGCCGTCGATGACCAATGCTCTATGATCATACTGCACATTGGCGCAAAACAACGTGGGGGCATAAATGCCAAGGAACCAAAGCAAAACCAACACAGTATGGTTCCCTCTCATCTCCTTTTTTGGGTTTTCAAGAACAGAGGGAATGGATCAAAACCCACAAGGGAATGAAGACGCTTGTTTCTGAACAAAAAATGATGAGGTTGCCTTGTTAAGACAATACAAAATAAATCTTGCTTTGCTTTATCAGTTAGTTGCGTCTTTGTATTTTGCAAGCCCGTGCTGCTATATATGTTTGTGTCAGTATGTTGATAATGGAAAAGGTTGTCGGTGGCATTGTCGTATTCCTCTGCTTCTTATGTTGTCTTCTTACATCATACTTGACTCTGTGAAGTGTGAACTCACTCAGTCTATGTTGTGTTTTTTTTATTGATTTTATTTGAAGTGTTTTGCTTTGGAGCCCACAGAAAAATGGGGTCTTTTCAATTTTTTTAAGCCATGCCATTCAAAGGGTAGTAAAAAATGGAAACTGTGAAAGTGAAAAATATGACCCTAGATATGGACCAAGCTCCACTGAAGCTAAGGTTATGTACGGGAAACACTCCCAATGCAGCAGATGTAACCTGTTTCATCCAACAGAAAGAGGATATTCGATTTTACAAATATATATAATATATATATAAAGGGCTTTATTAATCTCATGTGACATGAGAAACTCTCTTATGTCAAAGAGATAGTTATGAGTAAGACTTACTCACTTAAAGAAAAAGAAAAAGAAAACAACACAGAAATCGATGTATATATAAGAGAGAAAAATACTTTCCTACAGTATAAGATAATATTTTCCCATATAAAAAATTCAACTTCTTCAAACACATTTAGCATCGAAGAAAAAAAAAAGGATCTACTTTATTTATTAACAGCCAAGTGTCAGTGTAGTGTAGTGAGCCAGCCAACCAGCCAACTACTTCACCGGTATCATTGCAGTCTGCAGACAATTAATGTTATTCGAAAACTAATAGGACCGTGACATTTCGTTGGAGTAAATAAATAGCACAATTCAACGGTTGATTACTTACTTTGATTCCATTGATCTGCTCTTAGATCTTCCCCACCTAAATGACAAAGGAGTGCTTCCTTTTCTTTATTTTTTATGAAACTTTAAATAGGTTCATTGCTTTTCTTTTTATACTTTGTTTAGCTTGCTTCTTTCTTCTCTTTTACGGAAAATAGGACGACAATGATTGATATCAAGTGTACTAGAATAGCATCTCATGCAATCGCTTTTTTTCAAAAAAAAGAAAGAAAGAGTTGGAAACCATGAAAGCAACACAAACCCGAACACTTGGTGGCCATATCAATAGAAGGTGGTGGGGTTGGCCATTGAGTCATTGACAATCGCGTCTCATGTCGTATTCGGCACTAATAAAGATCATTCTTTGGTGAATTCAGCACTGTAGTTTGAACGTAAGAAACCTAAGGACAGTCAAAATATTATTTTCATCTTTAGAGTTTATATTTTTTACAAAAATATATATTTATAATTTATTTTTCCTTACAATCACTTTCTTTATTATTGGATTAATATTAAATTAATGACTCTTACTTAATATTATTTTGCAATCATTAATTTGATTAATCTAATAATAAATAAATAAAATTATAAAAGATTGTCACAGAAAATAAGTTATAAGTATAAACTTGATCTTCTTATTTTTTATAGTTTATTTTTCTCAATTAAAACATTGAATATTTTAATGTATTTTATACTATAGGGATATAAGTTATATATAACATTTATGAGGTTTAATTTTCTCATGTTGGATGAGAATTGAATTCTCATGTTGTGACATAACTATTTGTGGACTCCACATTTATTAAAAAGAGAAAAAGAAAAGAAAAGCTCTGCACGCAAATCGAAGAGTCACAACATGAGAATTCAATTCTCATGCAACATGAGAAAATGTTTTTCCAACATTTATAAAGTAAATGATTAAAACATGTAACAAATCTAATTTATAAAATATTTAAAAATTAAATAAAGGTGTATTTATCGAAAGTACGTACATAAGCATCTTGACATTGGTGATCTCAACTCCTAGTCTTCTTGAGAATGGATTTTGGGCGGTGCATGAAAAGTTTAATTTGTTCTGGACAAAGAAAAAATCGATGATGTCATGATACACTGACAAGAAAATTTGTTTAGTAATTCGCATGCACCGTGTATCTTTCACTTATAACATGATATATGTCTTAATTTTTTATCAAATCATTTTTTTAGCTGATTTTAAAATAAATTATTTATTAAAACTTTGTCAAAAATAAAACATGTATCACATTATAAATGAAAGATACACCAAACTCGATATATTCGTAGCGGTAAAGATATTCTCCACTTACAAAGAGAAAATAGGTTGCAATAGCAGAGGTTAAAAATGTAAATTAACATCGGTAAAAAATCTAACCATGTAAATTTTATCTATTGTTACTAGAGGTGACAAAATGAATCTGCTCCCCTATCTCACTTTTAAGAGTGGGTTAAAAAACTCGGCTCGTCCCGCCCCACTGGCCCGAAGTTGTTTTACACTAACCCGCCTCGCCATCAACTCAACAAAAAATAAGCTAGCTCACCTCATCCCATTTGACGGGCGGGCCGGGTCGGGCCGGCGAGCTGAGCTCATTTTGTCGGCCCTAATTGTCACGTTGTGGAATATATATAACCGTTGTATCAACATAATCGATCTAACAGTGAAATTGATTGGTAGTAACATTGGTAGTAACAATTAGTTGTTACAATATCCTACCCCCATATATATATATAAAATATGGAAAATCATAAACATACAAAGGTGAAAATAAATATAAAATATTAAATATGGAAAATCATAACCATACAAAGATAGAAATAAATATAACTGTTGATCAACATAATCGATCTAACGGTGAAATTGATTGGTAGTAACACTAATTGGTTGTTACAATATCCTTTCCCATATATGTATATATATATATATATATATGGGGAGGGATCTTTTGACTCTACAGTAAGACTTATAACTCTTACTCTTTATCTCAACCGTTGATTTCTGTCCATCTAACAGTTATTATTTATTTGAAATAATTAATTAATTAATTGTTATAGATAACCGTTGGATGGACGGAAATTAACGGTTGAGATGAGGAGTAAAAATTGTAAGTCTTACTTTAGAGTCAAAAGATCCCTCCCCTATATATATATATATATATATATATATATATATATATATATATATATATATATATAGTAAAATATTTCTTTAGTCACTAGAGATAATATCTCCAGTAATCACCAAAATTATGTCATTTTGAATTAATGAAGGATATTTTTATAATTTTAAGGGAATTAATGAAGAGTGTTTCGGTAAAATTCATATGATAAGAAAATAAAATTACAGGAACACCCTTCAGTAATTCAAAAAAACCGTCGTTTTGAGTTCAATAGAGTAGTTTTATCTCGAGTGACTGGAAATAAAGTATATATATAGGATAAAGTATTTCTCCAGTCACTGGAGATAAAGTTATCTCCATTGAGCTCAAAACGACGTCGTTTTTTGATTATAAGATTAAAATAATTATAATGATAAATGCTAATATAACCTTGCAATATATTAGAATTACAAAAAATACATTGATTTTCTTCTCAAACTGACGTCGTTTTGGGCTCATCAGAAGTAACTTATCTCCATTGGCTAAAGAAATTCTTTACCCGTATATATATATATATATATATATATATATATATATATATATATATATATATATATATATATATATTTTGTCTGGACAATGTAGGAAAAATATTTATAAATATCTTGATAAATTTTACTTATTTAACATCTCTGTGTTTATATTATTATTTTTTTAGTAAAAATCTTACGTTAAAATATCCTTTCTCTACTTATCCACTGCTCAAAAAAAAATTTGGGCCATTCATTTTGTTTTGTGTAGAGATGTCACGGTTCTGCCTGTATTCACCATTTCCATTTTCTTTAGAAGTCTGACATGCCAAAATGTCATTTTCCTGACTCAAATGCGTATTCTAAATTTCCGTTAAAGATATGTACTTAAAAAAAAAATCCATTATAGATGAAACCGATATACTCAATGGCCATCCAATTGCAGCAAGTCATTTTCCTTCTTTAATTCTGCTTTTTCTTTGCAAATATTAATGATTTTTCAAATATGTTGATAAAAAGCATCTTTATTTTAGCTGACTTGTGTATTTCTACGGTCTGATTTTAATTAACAACTAACCACTTATATTTTTTACAGCATTACAAGATGATTCCTCTTGGAATAATAAAAGCCTTTTTAATGTGTATATAGTGAATGTAGATAAGTTATTTACATTCGTTCCTAAAACAACATCGTTTTAGGTTGAAAAATTAAAAAATTATAATGAAAAAGACTATTATAATCCTGAAATAAATTATAATTACAAAAATAACGTAATTTTCGTTTCAAAACGACATTGTTTTGAGCTCAATATATATAAGTTATCTACATAACCGTAGAAAAAGCAAATCCATAATAAAATGTGATTTTATTAGAGAAATAAAAACAAACATTTGAAGATAATTAGTGCAATCTTAGATCTAATCATAATAGGTCCTTATATCATAAAAACATCTTTTTTATTCTCCAACACGATCAGAGATAATTGTTGGGCTTCCTCCTTCAATGCTAAGCCCAAACCCATTTGAGGGGTTTCCTAAAAACCCTAACCCTAATTTTCACCTCCTTTATATATACTCATTAGTTGTGGGTGGAGGCTAGGTCAGATTTTGAGAGAACAAAATTTGAGAGAAAAATTATTTGATTGTTTGAGTAAAGCTTTATGCTTTGCATTTGAGAGATCTCTAGAGAGAGTTTGAGTGAAACATCTCTAGGGTAGTTTGATTATCACCATTGTTGGAGAGGTTGAGTTAACCATCACATTGGTGTATTTGATTCTTTGTAACCATTATTTTCATAGTGGATTTTTGATCTGGACTAGGTCCCGTGGTGGATTTTTACTTCTTCATTAGAGAAGGTTTTCTCACGTTAAATCTGGTTGTGTTCTTCTTCTTTCTCTCTCTCTCTCTCTCTCTCTCTCTCTCTCTCTTTCCTATTTTGTGATTTTTCGTTTTTGATTTTTCCGCTGCGCTGCCTGACCTGGTGAAATTCAGGCCGAGGTCTTGCTGAGATCCGAGAGCAGG